GGATTATGAGATAATCCAAAACTTCTCTAATTTAGTATTTAAAATAAGTAAGTGTTTGAGAACAAATACATTATATTTATAAGCATTAAATGTATTCTTCGAATTATGCTAAATGCAACGGGAATAATCTCATTATGAAGACGAGCTCTCTAGTTTGAAGTCACAAGATCTAGTTTTCTTGGCTAGCATAAAGTGCTACTAGACCGACTTCAAATTTTTTTATCGACTTCTAAGACTAGAAGATGAATACAACCGGGGATTATTTACAGCCTTCCCCGGTATTATTACACTCTTTCCCGGTTCCCTGTTATTGAACTCAATTACTTACACACAGCACAATCTTTGTGCTTCCAAATCTATCATCCACTTATGGATATAAAACTAAAGATAACGGTAAACTAAATTAAATTTAAAGTTAATCTAGCAGTTCAAGACTACACAAATTAATTTAACCAAGCAGGTTGACTCAGAAACCCACAACGGCGTAATATTAGACTTCGGCGGCAAGAATGCGAAGCCGAGATTCAGAATTCAAATAGTTGGTAAAAACAGCAACGTACGCATTCAATAACGAAACACACTCTGACTAACCTTTTCCCTACTTCAGTTTAAATACACTCACGCTCATCCTAATTCATTTACATCTTGGATAGGAAGCACGAGCGAAATGAAATGATAGGAAAGGCTAACAAATTAAAATAAATATTAGTAAATATAATATAAACCACCTCACAAAGCAATTAAAATTATAAGTGTCAATCCTCAATTTTCTGTTCCTTTCACTTTTGCGTCGATCCAATTTTCAAATAAAAGATGCTGGCACTAAATGTTATCGCTAGGTATTATTCAAAAAAGAACAATATACGAAATATAGATATGGCGGATTTTAAAAAATATATATACAGCAACAATTAAAATTCTACTGGAAATGCTAAACATATGTTAATTATAAAGATTTTCTGATTTTGTTCTTGAATTTTATGTGACGTAAGTGATGTTCAATAAAGCTAAAATAATAAAAAAAAACTTATGTATACATCACATGACTTCCTTGTACGGAATATTAAATTATACGCATTTCTTCCTGCATTTCATTTAAGCTTATTGAATTGAATTAAATCTAATTCGTCGATAGCGCATAAACCATAATAGAATAAATGAACTCTTTAAAATTCACTATATTTATTTACTATAGCTACACTTGGCACTAGGTTCACTTAAAAGCGTTACATCTCATTGATTTTATAGCTCAGAATGCACAGAAATTATACCATGTGAAGATATCTAATCGTTGCCACATGTTCTATTTAAATACTATAATAAATCTAAAACAATGTATAAAAGAAATTAAACAAATAGAAAAGAAGCAGTTTTTCACAGACGCCGCTTGCCTAATGCGCATGCGCTACTCGTAAACATTCTCCTCTATCCGAGATAGACTGGCGACAATGTTTGCTGCTAATACAAAACATTTACTTCCTCAAATTTCATTAGAGATATATTTCTCATTCAATAAATTCAGTTTTCACTTTGCGGCAGGGTAAAAATACATAAAAACTCAAAATATCTTCATTAAAAATCGAAAGATATAGAAAAACAGAAAACACCAAATACATTTAAAACAAATTAAAAGAAAGTACAATTAAAATTAGACTTCCTGCGTAAAAAAGGCTGATTTTTCGGTCTACGAAACTAAAAGTTTCCTTTTGGGCCCACTCGGCAAAAAGACGCTTAAGGAGCAGAAAGCCTTTCACTGTTCTGCTGTTTCAAATGTGAATAAATGCGACTGCTATGGTTAGAAAAATCAGGCTCAGCCGCATTTAAACAATTTTTAAATTGTTGATAATTCTACAGCTATTGCATGCAGATTAACTAAAGACATAAAAACAATAACCAGAAGATAAGAACAATATAATTCAACAATTCAACAACAACAATTTTGCATATTTTACCAGCATATAAGGAAAAAAAAACTGAGCTCACGGAACCGAGTAACAGAGCGGGTATATATATTTATATATATACCCGCTCTATATTTATATATATATATATTATATATATATATATTATATATATATATATAATATATATATATATAATAGAATATTAATATATATTGATATATATATATAATAGAATTTTCGCGCATTAAGCTGCTGATAAATTATCAGTAAAGACATATTTATATACTTTTGGTGCGGCCGATTGCAATCAAAAAGGGAGGTCCACAAGTATATGTTACAGCAGTCCTACATTCGAAATTTCAACGTTCTGAGGCTACTCGTTTTTGAGTTAAATATGATACCCGGAATTTTTTGTGATTACAATATTTCCTTGTACGAAGTAAAGAACGAAGTATTTTCGTTGAAATATGATACCCGGAATTTTTTGTGATTACAATATTTCCTTGTACGAAGTAAAGAACGAAGTATTTTCGTTGAAATATGATACCCGGAATTTTTTACAATACTTCCTATACCGGAATATGATACCCGGAATGATTACAATACTTCCTAGTACGAAGTACAAACAAATAAATAAAAGATTTGAAAAATAAAAGTTGACAACGACGAACACAAAAAGTTGGTCATCTTATTAAGAAAACTGAACACTACTAAAACGAAATGCATGGCAACGCTTAACACTCTCTCAGGAATTCTAAAGATGTGCTGCTTTTAAAAATTTTGTGATTGTTAAGTCATTGATTTGTGAATTCGAAGCACTATGTGACCATAGATAGAATATTCTACGATCGATACATTTTCAAATCAAAGCATGAGAACGACGCATAATAGAACACGTATGAGACAACAAAATAATAAAAATGAGTAGTGTTTATAATAACTATTCAGGCAAAAATTTTGAAAACAAATTAGATTTTATTTACAAACGATCAACCGCAAGTAACAGTTTACAGATTTTTAATCTAATTATACAAAAATGAATGTATTATATAAAGTGGAACGCATTGACCATATGTTCGGAGCATCATAACCTTTTAGGTTATGCACCTTAAGGTCAAACTTATATTATTTTCTTACATAAAAATATAGCGGACCGCTTCTACTATATGTTGCACAAAACAGAATTTAAACGTGTTAATAATAAGAATAAAACTTTAAAACTGCCCAATTGCAGCAAAGGGATGTCCAGTTATGACGGATGTCTCGCGGAATTCCGTGTTTGTGTTGTACGCAGTAGACGCAACATACGCAGTAAGAAGATTAAATTTCCTCCAACAAAAAGGCCAGAAGTAATGTTCAAAGTGAACCAAAACCACTTTCAGAATTGTTAGTGAGAAACTACGAGTAATTTAGAGGCATTAAAAAATGATGCTGATTGAAGGTAGCAACAGTGATACCGTCAGAAAATTTCCAGTAACATTTCAACACGACAACTCGATTGAAGATGTGCTGACTAAGAATCTGAATTCAGAAGTAGTCCTGTGAAAATTTTGTGAATTAACGCTGATTTTTGTTGTTTGACTTCTGAATCAGTAAGAAACTGAACTTAGACTGCTACGAAGAAGACTCGCAAACGTATATATCAGCATATAGATTGTAATTTGAGATTTCATATACAGAACTGTCAAATCCTCATAAGCGTACTTCCTCATTTTACTCAATTTTGCTCTCAAAATGCCTATTTAATGAATTATTTTTCGTAAGCTTGGATTTCACTTCCTTCACTAATCAGCTTTAGCACGTTTTCAATTTTAGCATGAAAGAACTGGTCTGAGTAATAAGCTGAAGTCAATTTCCCGCTGCTCAAATACATCAAATTAATAGTCTTTCCCACCTGCCGCTTTCGATTCTTTTTTAAGCTGCTTACTTCATTTTAATGACCTTGACACACATTTCCTGATTGGTCTTCATTGCTGAGGCACAGCAGTGCACATGTGACACAATACCCATATATCAGCACCTGAGTTTCTTGTTCCTTAACAATTTTAATTTTCGAAAAGACGATTAAATTATTCAAAAATCATCATTCCAAAGAGACTTTATACACTACAATAGTTATTTGCATGAGTTACAGCTATTACTAATAAGTTTTCGTTAGAACACAACGCGTATACATTTTCATTTACTACAAAAGTATATTACATTTATTTTTTTCATTTAATATGCAAATATATTATATATAAACAGAATAGGTACTTGTCGATTTTAATGACAATCACCAAGGAAAAAATGCCGCCAAGTTTAGGCTTTAAGAAAAAGAGTGCTTTTTTAACAATGCAATTTTAATTGAAATGCAAATTAAATAAATAAATAAGATTACTTTATTTCTAGAAATAGAAATTCCTACTTAAAAGTAAAAGTTGTATGGATGCCCGCGGAAGGAAGAATGCAATAGCTTTTTATTACTATTATTTTATTTTATTTTCGACATAAAATTCTTCTTTTAATCAGAGAGAAAAATAATTGGTGTTTTCATAATATGAAAAATAATTAATGGATTATTATATCTAAACTGTTTAGATAAATTATTATCAGACATAAAATTCTTCTCTTAATAATAAAAAATAATAATTATTTCATTTCATTATTGAATTTTCATATATTCCCATTACACAGTTTTAAAAATTAAATCTTTTATTTTTTTAGCATGAACTCCAGAAAAGAGAATTTTAAGTAAATAGATCGATGAGGATGAGAAATGCTTCATTTTCTACGAACTTAAGCCTCTGTGACTACGATTTGAAACCAAGATGAAAGAAACACTACATAGTATTCGTTTGCAAACTGCTACAGAGTATCTTCAGGCAATAATCTGCTTCATGCGAGCCAAACAAAACAGGTGTTGCTACAGATTCTGAGTATCACCCAACTGGCAAAGGGCGGTGTATAACGCTGGTTAATAAACAGAAGATAGGTAAAATTTAACAAAAATACCTGTTTCATGTCAGTTGTAAAGAAGTAGTTGCAACTATTAAAATTTCAACTCTTGTATATATGATTTAGAAATTAAATACTATATACTTAAGGCAGACTTACCTTCGTTGAAAGTTTCAAAAACGCGAAGTATCTTTGAGCGATTGAAATTCTTTTTTCTAACATGATTCTGAGCTGCGACCACTGTTGCTTCAAAGTGTCAGACTTGCTATGCACTACTTCCGCTTCCTCGCCTCCGCAGCGAACTAGATTTGGAACTGTCTTCAACAAGGCTTCCATTTCCATGCCTTTCATCTGTAAAGCATAATAACGTACCAAATTATACATTATATATACATATATATGTATATATATATGTATATATTATATATACAATTTAGCCAATTTTTTATCTCGGTGTTTTTGCTTAACCCCTTCGCGCCGACTGTCACGTATGCGTGCCAGCAACGAACGCACTTACCTACCGGCCGACACGCAGGCGTGCCAGAGGATTGTTCCATTCTCTACCGACTGTCACGTATTTGTGCCAGTACTTTGGAACGTTTTTCAAACTATAATTTCTGCCACAAGATGGCACTGTATGTCCATATGGTTTCAGATACATGTATATTAGACCTTCTACTCGAAATGAGAGAAGCATGACTCACATACATGTGTTTTTGATTATATAAACAAACGGGGAAATAAATGTTTCCGAATGGCGTGATTTATGACGTCTCTTTAAATCGCACTTTATTCGCACGTGGTAGTTGTTTACTGTAAGTAGAGAAGTTTTATTTGCTCTAAAGCGTTGGGTATTTCGGTTTACAGTTCAGTTTTTAGAAAATAATTAGATCTTGTTAGACGTGAATTCTTTGTTTTTACCGTTGCAATGTCGAAGCATCGAAAATGTTTAACAGAGCATGAAATAGCAGAAATGATGCAAAATATTTCAGATATTGATTCTGAAATTCTGATATTGATTCTGAAAGATTAACTGAAAGACATTTTCCAAAACTTTGTTCAGAAGAGACTGATAAGAAAATGAGACGACGATGCTTCATTTGTTCACATTCCCGGAAAAATCCTCCAAAACGGCAAATGAGTTATTACGAGTGCAAGGAATGTAACGTAGGACTGTGTGTAGATCCCTGTTTTCAAATTTTTCATACGAAAAGAGAATTTTAAGTAATATATTTAGTTTTCAGATGCATAATGTTAAAATTCATAAAATGGTGAGTAATTAAAATAAAATGTGTAAAATATGCATTTAAACAAGAAATAAGGTAATTAAAGTATATATATATATAAATATTTATAAAGCATAAGCCGTTTAAATACTCTATAGAGCATTATTAAACAATGCGTTGATACTTCGGAAATTTCATGGTGGATTTAGGCTTAGTAGCAAAAAAGCCCCCGGCCCTGGAGAGACGCTCGCGTAAGACACTGCCGGCCTCAGCGATAAGCGCGCGTTTTCGCTACCCGGCTCGAAGGGGTTAAGGATCAAATTAATGAAGAATAGATTACTAAACTATAAATTCATCACCTGTCAAATCTTTCCCAATTAAAAAAAAGAGCAATTCAAAAATGGATTAGAACAATAATTTACCTGGTTTGTAAAATAAAGGGATTGAAGTTTAATTATTAAAATAATTTATCATACTGAGTGTGTTAGCATATAATTTCAAGTTATTCTCGTATTTAGGTATTCTTGTGTAAACCCTCTAATACGAAACTCATCAGTGACTGCGAAAGAATTATGAAAAAAGGTTAAATTCACTAAATTCATTATGACTTACCCTCATGTCGTTCTGCAAACTCTCATGATGATCAACAAATGTTTTGGCAGCAGTCGGAGTTGTGCCCATATCACGTGTCCTCTGGACAAAGAATTGGCCATTGTTGGACAACCATTTCATCAGCTGGGAAAAATTCAGTTTCATATTATAAACAACAGATTACAGACAATGCAAATTTCAGATGAAGCAACTGATACGCAGCATGATTTCATAAAGAGGAACGAAAAGAGAATCAAATCTCATACCTCATCCCATTTCTCACAAAACTTTCTGAAAGCTGAAGTCCTCTCCAACGCAACAGATTCTTTGGCTTTGCATAAATCAAAAAGTTTTATCTTCTTAGCTTCCAACTCCTCAACCTTGAAATTATATTTAATAACTTAGTAAAATAGCAAAAATGCAGTAAAATAAATCAATAAAATGCAAAGAAGCAATAAAATTAAAGATACCCCATTAATGAGGAATTTTATATGAAGTGAATTAAATATTTTCCTTTTATCCCCAAATTTTGATTACTGATTGATGAATTTTTCACTGATTATATAAATAACGTAACGATATATGTTTATATAAATAGCATAAGGATATATGTTATAGTATATACATACTTAAATTGCTCCTTTCGCTAAATTTGTACGACATATAGATCAGTCTAAAGTGCTTTACAAAATATGCAGCCTACATGCATTAAAGCAACTACATACTGCATGCAGTAGATTATGTTATACTTTGTTGATTTGAGTGATTACATATCCCAGTGGTACCCAAACATTTTTATTCGTAGCACAATTTTTATATTAGATATTTTTCCTAGCGTACAGTCAGAACGTTAGGCCTATCTAACAGTTGTATCATGGCGTTGATGCTATTACATTGGTTAAATTGAGAAGTTATAAAGTATTTCTCCCGCCTTCTTGGTATCCCTTCGCGGTGTGGGGGTCTGCACGCTGGGCGCGTATTCCAGAGGTCTGCGCTTCGATTCCCGAAGAAGGTGTTGCTAACGTTTCACCTTTCCTGCTTCCGAAAAAAAATCCTAATGTCTCTACAGTGGCGCCCGAACTAAAAGGGTAGTGGCGATGATAATTTACTAATTTACTCACCCAGGATTTGGCGTTTGGGTTCTCTAAAAATCCCAGTCGCCCTTTAAAAGGGGGAGTATATAAGGTATTTCTCCCGCCTTTCTGGCATGCCTTCGTGGTGTGGTGGTCTGTACGCTGGGCACGTATTCGAGAGGTCCGCAGTTCGATTCCTGGCTAAGGTGTTAATAATTTTTCGTCTTTCCTGCTTCAAAAAAAAATCCTAATGTCTCTAGAAAGTGAATGAAACACGTATTTATCCATAATCGTAAATCCAGAAAAAATTTACAAAATTATTTTAAACTATATGCACATATACCTAAATCAATCATACCCAGTACATATCCTAAATAATTATATCTCTGAATAAATTAATCGCAGCTAATTGAATGAATAAGCCTTTTTTTCCCGTATTTAGTAAATTCGATGTAACAAAGCATTGAAGAGTAAATTTGATGTAGTTTAAGTGTCAAAGGGTTTTGAATCTATGGAAGCTTATCACCATGCATGTATCAGTTATGCAAACTCCTCTCTCTGAAAGTAATTTTCAAAGGAATTTATAAGCTGATAGGTACTTTTCAGAAACAGTGATTTGTACTAGATTTACTTTCTATCACAGCACCAAAAAATTCGATGGAAAAATTCTGAAATACGTGGATTAAGTATCACTTCTATTGTAGAATATATAAACGGCTATATTATATAATGCTTCTATGGTAGACCATATTAACGCCGGAAAGCTACCCACAGCACCCCAAGGCGCCACTGTACATAGTTGGGGAATCATTAGCATAGCCATAAAAGATATCAGTTTTATAAAAATATTCTAAACAAACGTAGTTACGCACTCTCATGGCTTGGCCCTCTTCGGGTTCTTTGTCTTATACAGTATAACATATTTAAGTCATTTAGCAACGTTATTTTGATTCTTTTCATTAAAATCATAAATTTATTACAAACGCTAACTGAAAATATTTAATAAAATGCATTATAATCATTTTAGAATTCTATTATTTTACCTCATTAAAAATGTCTTAATATCGTTGCTTTATTTTATTTAAAAATAAAAGTTCTTTGCTTAGTTGAAGATAATAATAATTGGATCGTTTCATTCTGCAGAAAACAGCGCGTTTTTTATTTTGTTTAATGGAAATAAATATATATTTATTGTTTTTTTAGCTGTGTAATCTTTCTTATAATGTAAAAAAAATATCAAATTTCTTGGAATAATATTTTTTTTAATAAGGTAAACACCACTTTAAAATTTAAATGCAGAAAAAAGACAGCCCATTTATCTGGATTTCTCAGCTGTTCTGGATTGACTATTTTCTCTCTCTTCCTAGCGACTAAATGAGAAAACGACTCCATTGGTTTTAGCTGTTCTTCGTGTCTGTAACTGACAGTTTTCTTTCAGCAAATCCTACCCAAAAGCACCCTATTTTTAGGCAAGATACTTTTTTTATACGTGGCCATAATTAATAAATTCAATGAAAAAAAGTATGAATGAAGTGTAAATATGAATGAACGAGAATAGTCAAAAATACCAAGCACCAGCTAGCATTCTGAAGAAAACGTAAAACACAATAACATTTACTAAAAGAAAGAAGTTATAATGTAAATGCAATACTGTTAAAACGAAGGATTATCCTGGTTCATAATGATACAACGTAGCGTTTTAAAATAAAATTACATTGTTTTACCTGTACAGCACTTAGGAAAGCATGAAAACAAAAGAAATAATAAAATTAATATATTTTCATAATTTAATCATTTTAATTGTCTATTTTAAATAATAAAGAACAAAAATATTATTTATAAATATCTTGACCATTTTTAACTTCATTTTTTAATCTTCCGTAGCACGGAGAATGAAATTTCACATGTATTAAAAAATTCAAAAACTCGAAAATACGACACAAATCGATTGCTTAGTCTAAGAAATGAAGGAAACAAAAGTCCTGTTGGCAACTACTAGGTACCAGACAAGGGTTGTTCAGTCATTAAACCTACAAGGTCGGTGACCTAGTCCCTCAATAAATTCCTCATATGTCTTAAGAAAACATGGAAAATGAGATCGAAGGAAGACCTTCTGAAAAAAATCTTAATCTACGTTACCATAATGTCATAACCGAGCGCTGATTCCAGGTAAATTGCTCTATTATAGAATTCGGAAAAGTATTTAGCATTTTAATCCTTTTTTGAAGCTAGAAATTTCCGAGCCTAGACTTTGTCCTTTCACCTCTCATTGCGGTGTAATATGCTTTTACATTGCTACCAACTACTTAAACTTTTTTTTCATCAATAATCAACGTGACACTATCGATTCTGCAGCTATTGCTAAACCATCAAATATAAGATCTTTACTTTATGTTTTCCATTTTATATTTTTTTTAATTATAATATTTCAGTCATTTATATATTATACGTTTTTTTTTACATGAATTTGATTTAACATGGTTTAAAAGCAGGTTATTTCTCTTTTTAATTTAATATGACGCTGTGAAAACGAGACCTTTTTTAAATCTAATTCTCTAGAATTTACATTTAATTTAGAACATTTTAAATATTTAAGGAATTTAGACTTTAAAAATGTACATTTTGCGTACTAAATCCTTAAAGTAAAATTTAAGCCAGTGTAATTACATAAAATATTTTCTTTGTCTTTTCCATAAAATCAATGAGCTTTCCTTCTTATGTCTATCGAAATCATGCTACTAGTTTACGCTCATTTAAAAATAAAAAATAGACTACCAAGAAATGCAAAAATGTGTTAAAATTGGTTTACTTGCTATGAAAATGATAGAATAACTTTAGTATTGCATGTACAGCTGAATTATAGCAAATTTACCTTTCGAGCGACACCTTGAGCTCCCGGTTCTTTACTTCCAACGGTATTTAATATCCTTCGGCCGCATTCAATCACTGGACTTGCAATTTCTTCTACTGTAGATGATAAAGTCGCCATCTCGCTAGTAGATATTTGGATTTCGAGCTGGTCGAGTTTCGTTTGAGCCTAAATAACAGTAAAATCTCAATCATTATACAATAACAATGTCATTCTTTAACAGATATACATAAGCAGGACGATTCCTAAATGTATTTTCGGAGATAAAAGTATACGATAACTTTAGTTCTTTTCCAGACGGGAAAGTGGTTAGTGACTCCGTACCGAAGGGTTTCGGTTCGAATCCCAACCCTGAAAAGGCATGGATGTAAATTGTCTATCCCTTCATAGAAGACAACGGTGACTCACGTATTAGGTGCCATCATAATAAAGCAACCACCACTTCTAGCCTTAGTATTGGCCAACGCTTATATTGACTATTCGCCTTCCTTCCCTGCGCTGCGCGCTACTGAGAGAAGTAGAAACACACACACACAAAAAAAAATTTGAATTGAAAATTTTGAAAAAATTTTGAATCACTGAAAAAAAAAGCCCGTTCTTTGACAGAAAAGTCCACTGGATGAAACTTCACACGAATAAAGCCCACAGAAGAAAACCTACTCTCATGATTACCCAATGATCATATGCATAATAGCTCGGACGGATAAAAGCCCACATGGATAAAAGCCCGAACAGGTAAACGAAGCTCATATTGACAATTCTATTCATGTGGGTTTTTATAAAAGCGGGCAATCATGGCTAAGGGATTTCCTGGGTTTTGAGATATCTCAGTAATTTAATTAAAAGAGAAGAGTTATTATTTTATCCTTTTTATAAAATAATGTTCCTAAACGCAACAACCACAACAGATGAGTCAGATGTCTCCATAAGTCAAGAGGACTCTGTCATAGCATTTGTATTCACGTTCTCGCAAGTCTGCAAAATTTTATTTTTTGTTTCTAATTTATTAACTCTTAACCGCACTAATAAATTTTAGCATTAGCTCGCAGAGTTCTTTATTTAGCTTTTCTGCAAATTAAATAAATCACTGTAAGCATTAAGTGATAATACGACTTTAAGGAATACAGTTCAAAATATTAGCCCGTTAAGCTAATCAAATTTCGATTAAACGAATATATATTTACTTCACGGCCAAAAATAATTAAGAAATCATTTTTCAAGAAAAGGAAACATTTTTTTTAAAATATCCCTATCTATTTCCATACGACTTTTGTTTCGGTCATTTGCTTTGCTTTAATGTACAGAAATGACTAACTTATAACATGGTAATAAAAGTAGTCAGATTTTACTCAAAATCATATTAGACCATAGATATCTTCATTGGACTAGAATTTCAATACCTGGAAAGCATTGTACAACAGCGTTCAAAATTTTAATGTCAAAACAATTAATTAATTGCAGATTAAGTCTAAGCAATTTAGTTTCATACCGTTTGAGCCTTTCTGAAGAAATCGACAGAGTCGATCAAGAGCTGCCGTCTTTGGTCTACGCTTGTCGTAAGGTCAGCGCAGTCAGAAAGAAGGAGATATGCTCTACTCCTTAATTCTTCTGCTGCATAATTTCCACGACGACTTAAATCTTCAGCCGATTTGACCAGTTTCAGGCATTGTTCTTGTTTCTCCTAAACATTAAAAAAGGAGGAAAAAAGTAAAAACAGATCTACAAAGAAGCAATGAAAATGAGAACTGAAACAGTCTATATAATATAAGCGCAAAAACTATCGGTCATTCACTCATTTTTTAGGGTGGAAAATCGGAACAATGATTACATGCATTTAATTTAATTCTTGCCTTTAATTTATTCCTTTTACAATTGAAATTTTGTTATTTCATGTAATTTCATGATTTAATTCATTTCGTGTAATTTCATGATTTAATTCCAGTCCCTGTTAAACATTTTTAACAATTTATATTCAAGTTACTTCAAAAAATCTTTCAAAATAGAACTTACTAAATATGGATTCACTCTTTTAAGATAATTCTACTATAATTCAACTTAGGAGATAATATAATTAATATATTATTTAGTAAATATAATATATATATATATATATATATATATATATATATATATAGTTACAATCGGCTCGCGTTTTTTTACTACCTAGATATAATGGCACGTCCAGATATATAAGCAAGTCCCAGTCAATCTTTTATAAGGCGATCTTTTACTCGGTACAATGATCACTAGATATAGCATAATTTTTCATCGTTTCCAAGACGGTCATTGTAACGCAAGGCAGACTATATATTATATTGTCAACTAGCAAAATTAAAAACATGTAAATCAATTGATACAAAAATCACTTGGTCTACGAATAATCCAGATAACTGGAGTTCGGGATACCTGAAATGGATAAATGAAGCTCTAATATAATGATCTTCCTTTTTATGAAAAGAATATAATCTTTCATATACCTGATATACAACTTTCAAATAAAATGTGCTAGTCAAAAAAAAAAAAAACTCTCATGCTTTAATTCCCATACAATAATCAGACTCTGATCCAATTTATATATGACGCTCTAACAAATATTTGGCTATTGTCATGGAGATGAGACTGAAACAAATTATGAAAGACAGTTTGACACATATAATGATGAAATACGATACATACGAGTAAAATAGCATTTACTCTGCATTCTATTAATACTGCAATAAAAATTCTATTGACACACTTGCTGGGATTCAATAAAAGAGCATCGTTAACACACACTCTCTGATTTGCATTAACATAAAAACGTTGAATGAAATCACCATTTTCTCTAAATATCCGCAAACTTATGGAAAAATTACAAATTAATGGCGACTTATAGAACACACGACATTTATTTAGATACCTTTATGACACATAGGTGCTCTTCTGCTAATACAAAACAGCAAGAAGAATTATTTTATAAGAAACAAGAAATTTTATGACGGGTTGAACAATCGATATGACCGAAACTTACATTCTTACAGTCAATGGATATTATTCAGCGAAATGACAGTAAAACATAAAACGTGTACATCCAAACGAACTCAAATCCGTTTAACTGTACAAGCATACGTGAGCTGGTTATTGTCGCGTGTATACTCGAAAATATGCTTAAAATACGGCAATTCTATAAAATATAGAAAATAAAGGTATGGATAGTTAGAAAGTACCCTAATCACTTTACTATGTATCAAAAACTGATAATGTAATGAACTAAAATTTATTACTATTTAATTATGGCACTATCCGTTGCCGTTTCATAGCTAACGAATTTAAATGTATTAAACATTAATAACGAATTAGATCAGCTTCAAAAATTTTATGTTTACTTCCAACCATCATATTAAAATTACAATACAAGAAACAATGCACCCATGTTTAGAAACGATACTGCCATGCGACATTTCATTCTTATTCTATATTTCATTAAGTATATCTGTTACCATGAAAGACCGAAATTGGAGAATGTCAACACATACCAAATACGTCGGTAAAAGACCGAATATTTGGTTACATTCGGAACATAACAAGTGTATGTCGAGAGGCGCAGATATGCTCTGGTGGAGGTTGAAAGGAGAAGCCGAGAAAACAGACAGAGGCGTTGTAGAAGCAGGGGACTCTTGTGTAATTTAAAATTTTGCAATAAAGAAGATTGTACAATATCAATCACGTTAAGAATGCATTGTTCATTTTAAGCTCAACAGTTTACTTACATGTGCTAATACTTAAGCTTTCTTCTTATTTTGACACATATATGATAACATGTTTTAATAATAAAGTATGATTTAGAAGCGTAACAAAACTATTTTTTTCAACATTCACCATCAGTGAATTGCGAATGTCGACATTTGCCGGCGTAAGTGACAAATAAGAATGTTTACCAATATTTCGGACATTCACCAAGCGATTATATAAGTGTTGACACTCACCATAGAATGTCGACATTCTCCAGATTCTGGTCTTTCGCGGTAACATGTCTACAACATGGCAACTTATTGTCGCAGCTTACTCCATGCATTATATTTTCATAAGGTATTGCATATGAAGCTGTTAAAAAATAAACCCATAACTCTTAACTACGCCTAACATCTGAATTGATACATTAAACCATGAGCATGAATTTTAGAAGTTTATATTTGAATAAATCTATATAAAAATCATAATAGACTTCTACCATATAAAACATATAGCTTATTATTTTAAAAATTTGACATAACCAATGTACTTTACAGAAGTCTTCGATAATTTTAATTTAAATCTGCATGCCTTTGACAAAACACTAGAACTAAAAATTAAAATAACTTCATACTTTGCATTCGCCTTCAATCTTGTGATGTTCATGTAACAGGATTTCAGAATTCGCTAACGAATCTCCAAGATTCCTCTGGTTTGCATAATCAAAACCTCTTGTTCGAATCCAACTTTCAACCTTAAAAAACAACAATAATAATTGGCAAGGACATCACGACGATACCTTTTTGCATGCTTCTATTATAATATTTATTTGTTCAGTTACAATTTATTACTGTTCGTTTAATAGCGCTTCGTTTTGTGAAGTTTCGCAAATATGCAGCATTTTTAAAGACAGAAGTTTTTAAGAATCTTGTACGCTGCTAGATTGTCATCATTTTATCGACCAGATTTACACATTTAATGTCTTTGTCTTACATTCTGAGAGTTTGATCAAATAATAACCATAACCATGTCGTTTAAATATTCATTATTAATAACTATTTACTACTTGAATGTTCTAATGACTATTATTTAATTTTGTCTCTTGTTAAAATTATTCATCTGATGGATTTCTCTTTTTTTCATAACATTACAAAATATTTAAGCATTTCATAGTACATTCTATTAAAGCAGCCACCGCATATGTGTTTGGTTACATTTAAAATTTGCATATTCAAGTCCTAATGTCAATATCCTAATACTATGTTAGTATATAGGAATTGAAAATTAATGGCAAAATTTAAATTTAATCCAAAATAAAATAAGCTTCTAATTAAGATTTAAAACCAAAACTACTGCAACTGACGCATTTAATTATATACGTACATTTATTTATTTTTTTCCCTAGTTCGCCTTGTCCTACGCATTTAAATATAACTATTTATCCAATATTCGAATGTACACAAAATCTGTTTCGTTCATTTAAACGTTCGGTAAATATTTAATTTTGGCAGAAGATTTCGTTTAAAAGCAATTCAGTACATTTCAAGGGCAAATCGAGAACGAAGATAAAGAACATAAGATAAATGAGATGAGCGATAACAAAAGTAAAACAGCTGTTCTCCATATCATAATTTTAAAACGACAATGCTGTAATTGTAAATGGTAATGCTGATTCTGTTTCGGAACAATTAATGCAGAAAAAATTCCAAAAGGTAAAAAAAGTTCTTTGAGGCTTAGGAGTAAAAGATCCATCATAAGAGTTGTCCCTTAATGTATATAAAATGAAACATGTGAAGAAAAACAAGAAGTAGATTTATAACAAGTGAAAATGTACACCTTGATGAAGAACAGCTGTTCAAACTGATGAAAACAACGCATGGTTAATGTTCAGGTAATCCGTAACTGAGACTGACAAGAGGGCCTAAGTGTTGAAAAGGGCAAATGGATCTGTTCCAGAGCCTTTGGTGCTGAATGACGCTCACCTTTTAAAATTGAAAGAATAAGTTCGCATCTACCCCAGATGAGGCGTCTGGAATACATACTGTATTTATTTGAGTATCTCTTCTCTTCGCGCAGTTCTCCCCCTAGTTTTTTAAGCCTGTAATTTAGAATATTCTGATTTATGATGACAGTAATAGTGCATGCATAAATAGGAAAGCATTTTTGCAAGTAAAACGAAATTATTCAATTTGATAAGTCCTTTGAAACATATACTATAATAATATTAGTGTGTCTTTATGTCTGTTTTTAATGTGCTATGTTTACCATTTAAGTCGTCTCTTCAGAAATAGTATACACCGCGCAATTTTATTCTTCTAGTTTTCAAGCACTAAAATTAGTAGAAGAAGGGGGAAAATTCGCTAGTAAATATTGTATATCTGCTATCATGATAGGAATTCGATACTGAGTTAGCTCTGACAAATAAGCCATTATGTTATAGAGTGACTATTTTGTAGTAATTAAATCAGCCATAACCGATAAACTATTAAGTCTTAAACTAACATTTCACTAGTGTGCATCCATTAAACGAAATCTCCAGAACAAATTACACATTAACAAATATAAACTCAGTACACCCTGCATCACGAAATCAAATACAGGTACATCCTCAGTAAGTTCTTCCTGCTATATACGCTTAGTAATCGACTTCATCTTTACTCGAGTGACACCCACAAGAACTATAAGCTATGCTTATCAAGGCACTAAAGGTATCACCAACCTAATCATCTATCGTAGATTTATAGATCCGTTGCTCTGTTTAACAACACATGAGACATATTCAATTCAATCGCTAAAACTACGATTATCTTACCAGTGAATAGTATGGAACTCATATTTCTCGAAATACATTTGGCTGGATAGTAGTCCGGTGGAATAATGTTTGATCTCTCTCAACAACAATCTCACTATAACTACAGGTCCATACGATCAGCCAGTAGCATTCTATGAACATGAAGAGCTTAAGAACCTCATCATAGACACACTGAATGACTGAATGAACATAATCAGTTTGGCCAGCTGGATCCGTAAACTTATATTATCGCAGCCACACTTTTAACTTTACATTAGCTTAGAGTAGTATCAGGGAGCAATATTAACGTGATCACACAACTCAACACCATTTTCCATTCTTAATATCCTTAGAAGCAAAAGTAAGAAACAATAAAGACTAATTAGTAGTGGTAAGGGAGCAAAACATTCACGTGTTTAGTATGCACTGTATCATCTTCTCATTAGCTTCTGTAAGTCCTCCAGCGTGGGTGGATGTACCCATCTATGATAAAATCCAGCCACTTTAATCTTTTCTTCGATTTTTATCTTTTTGACTATTTTACCTGGATAGCCTATGGTGACTCCGGTCATCGAATGGTGCGCAGAGGGTTACTGTTTGCTATGTCAGCAATTTGGAAATCCATTCATGTAAACGTGTGACCCTCAATATTATTAAGATCTTCGATATTAGTACCCTTAAGAACCTTACCATTAATTTTATTTCAGGGATAGAATGATCTGTCTGTCTTGCGGTGACAAGCATCTACAGATTGCACTTGAAGTTAATTTTTATCGACTGTAGTACACTATCGATAGTGTTACTGTGATACATACTCGGGAAGAACACGTAAGTACTTACAGCATATGTGTGGTTGTAAAATGTTCTACGCTACCTTTCCTATATTTCCATTATAAAACTTTGGGCATTTTAGAGTATTAATTATTACTGCAATTATTTTTAACAAGTTTAAAGGAAATTAAATGCTTCAGTTCTTCTAATTCTCATACGAACATTTAATAAAAGATTCCAAATTTGAATTTACCTCGCTGAGTTGAACTTCGAGCTGGCATTTACTTAGGCATTGCTCCAGTTGAATCTTCTTTTGGTTCCACAAAGACTCCAGATGCCGCCAGCGGTCTTGAAGACTCTCCATGTGTCTCTCTACGAAAGAGGCAGTCTGTCGAGCTGCATGTTGCATGTGTAAAGGCCTGGAATCCCCCATACTGTGAGTGCCAACTTCACATAATCGTTCCAACAGCAGCTGACCTTCGCTCAACATTCGCATGGAATTTGTCAGCACAGCTATAATCAAATGAAAGTTACATTATCAAATAAAATCTCGGTAGGATAATCAATAGCCGCTGACTCTAGAAGTCATCAAAATATAACATGAGTTTGGTATGAATTTTAAATTAAAAAGCTGCTACCACGTAAACTGGTATTTATAATTTACAAAAATTAAAAGTTAATACACCTATTAAAACTACTGTAAATATTTTATATAATTTTATTTTAACAACTATCTCTTTCATATATCATAACCAAAAACTCTTTCATAACTAATAACTTGATACTAAATGCTTAAATAAACATTTTTATCCTGAAATTTTGAACCTTACTGGTAATATTTTTTTTTTATAATTAGTTAAGAAATATAAGATTTGTAGTCTCCTGTACGACCTGATTATCTTCCTTCGCTGGATTTAGAAGGAAAGACTTATTATTTTATAACGCATGAATACTTTAGATGTGACTTGACCATGATTCATTCCATGTAATAAACTATGTGTGAAAATCATTTAATTTCACATGAATAGCTCAAATATTCCTTTCCTTCTTTATGAAATTTTATTTATTTAACACTTTCGAAAATAATTACCATCCATCTCGATGACATTTGCAGGCAATATAGTTCGTAACATTCGCAAAATTAACTATTTTTTACTCTCCCAACTGCTACGTGAATACCTAGTAATGTATTTTAAATCAGAACTTTGGCAGACTTTATTTTCTGGAAAAGTCAGAAATTAGCTGGAGCTAGATAGGCAGCTTAAACCAGATGTGATTCTTGAAGCTCGGATGGACAGGATGACATGGTCGTGAATATTAGCAACAATATGTCCATCCTTAGAAGAAATGCATAAACAAAGAAACAACTAAACTTCGAAAGGAAAAAGAATGGTCTGAGTACAAAAACTATTTCTGTGAAATTAACGGGATTTTTCAACTTTCTCATATACATATAAATTATATTTTCTTTTATTTACAACATGTAGAATAATCGCTAATTCATACTTCGTAAATTCCCGGATGTTTTTTAACAATGCATTGATTCATAGTTTCAAATAGGACTTTATAAAATATTTTCTCCTTCCATCCTGCGTGCCTTCGTGGTGTAAATGACATGACACTTAGTAATCGGGAGGTCCGGTCTTTGAATTCCAGCAAGGTCAATGCACATTTTTCATGTCTCCTGTATCGACAAAAACCTAATGATTCTACAACTTACCTTTCCGTTCATCTTTAATGCGTGATAACATGGCCATTGCTGACTCTACCGTCACTGGAAGAATTGTATCAGAAACACTTTTCTTAAGAATTTCCAAACTGTCAACAAACTGAAAAAAAAATGAAAAAAATATTCATGAAATGCAGACTGAAAGAACAAATTACGTACTTTTCCATCAACTAATTAAAAACTACGACATAAACTGTGAGGGAAAATGTTGTTCACCTTTACCTCTTTCATGTTCTTCCATACTAATTTTTATTAACAGACAAACAGTTAGTTTTATTTTAATTTGTACTTTATTAAAGAGTTTTGGTGGTCTGGGGTGCACAACAAAACCAACAAACCATGATTAGATGGTATAAGACTTTACTAAATAAATTTATCATGTCAAATCAAAAAATCAAGATTTTGCAATAATTTTTGCTTTATATGCAATATCTGTTTCAATAAAACAATATTAATAAACCGATATATCACATTTTTTCTCCAATACATTTTTAATAAGTTATGACAAAGAGAAACTCGCTCTGCAAATCAGTAATAGACATCATTGGTGGTTATCTTTCTGAAGACGACTACCCTCACAGGTGACCAAACTCGTCAGGAAACATGGGTGTTCATCTTAGAAGAGGATTCCTGTACATGCTTTTACGAATACATAAGGAACTTGTGAAAGTAATTCTATGAATTCTGCATTTGATATTTAGAAGTCTATTAGAAGTTAAATAGCTTTCTCCAAGCTTGTAAATTGGACTCTGGCCCTGGTCTATGAACGAAATTAATAAAAATAATAACTTTTAAATTAAAAAAAACAGTCACTTCTGTAATATTACAGCTTATCTAAGGTTAAGTTTTGCCTAATTTCAAATAAATTTAGTAACTTGGAATATTTAGGAGCAACAACAGAAACTGTATTTTGGAAGTATAATAGTTAATGTTAACACAAAGTATTAAATAAGTCATTAACACATATTGATACATCCTTTTTTTTTAATTATGAAAAACGGCATAAATGCATTAACCATTATTGATTCTTTAAAGTTATCGCTTTTTCCTTTGGTCGTTTTTCCTTTTGCCTTTGAAAAGTCCATAAAACACAGAAAGAAATATCAGACACAAGCGAGTGACATGTAAATTGTAACGAGCAAAGCTTTTATGAATATTTAAAAATGGTTAAAGAAAGATGTGTATCATATGAACTTAGTTATTAGCAAAGAAGGAGTTAGGAATTGAAGAATCAGGAATAGTTATAATTTAGAACGATAAGGTATCAGTAATAATGCCGTTATTCAGAAGGATCAAAAGTTTGTGTTTCTAGTCAGAATATGACTTACAAGATCTTCTTTGGAAAAGAAGGCGACGGCCTGCTCGAGTATTTGCCTCCTTTGTTCAAGCTGAGCGTTGAGGTCTTTCCAGGCTAAACCTAAATTTTCAGCCATTGCAGAATACACCTCTCCTCTCGGCTTTTGCGTTGAGATGAGGTCATCAGCTTGCCTTAGTAATTCTTCCACAGGACTCTGTTTCGTCTAGAATAACAAATAAAAATATACATAATAATAGTAAATTATTTTGCTTTACCTGAATAAAGAAAGGCTGTAAAATATAACGTAAGTTTTACGAAACATAGATGTTGTCTGATCCCTTGTACAGGAAATTCTAGTAACTGCAAACATTTCTAAAATTTTGTCTCGTCCTTTAATTAAAAAATTTATGACTTCCAGACCATTCCAATATCGCGTTAAGCGATTTCCTATTCCGAATCTCTAAAATAGCATGAGCATTTGTGATTAGAAACCATGACTACAGATTTTAATATTTTAAGGTAATCTTAAAATTTCACCCTTTAAATATATCTTCTTATTTAATTTAACACATTTAAAATTTATTGTACTTTTCTCGTGTTTCACTTAACAGCATTATAGCCATACCCTCGCTGTGTTTGCGAATGAAATGTTTTTGAGGAATAGAGGGCAGTTCAAATCTATCGGTCAAAATGTCCTCTCGAGAGGAAGATGGCAGGAGAAGGCGTGCGAAAAATTAAGTCCGTTCTCCGGATCTTTCTCAGTTAAAATTAGAAGGAAGTTTAAGCAGATGGTACTCGTCAGCTTTACCTAAAAATTAATTAATTTGAGCTATTTCTTTCCGAACTATTTTCTTTTAGAAATCTGTTTCAGTTTGTTCGAAATCATGTGACAGAATTCGGGAGAAATATTTGCTGAGTAAGCACATTTGGTTACTAAAGAACTTGTGATTTAGAAACTTTTCCAAATAAAATTATGTTTGCTATGCTGTAAAAATCTTTCGCGTACAGGAAGTATAAAAAAAGGTCCACATCTGCGAAACACAGCAAGAAATAACAGACAAAAGGAAGTGGAATGCAAATTACAGCGTGCTAAGATTTTATGAATACTTAGTCTTTCCTCTACACTCCTGTTAAGAAACAGTTAACTACAATGCTAATGAGAAGAGAAGAAAATTGTCGGAAAAACTTGTGTCACGCAATTTCGTCTCGAATAGAAGAAATCATGACAAGCTCAAATAGAATACATTCATAAGTTTTCAGCTTTATAAAAATGCATTTACACGAAAGGCAATAAAAATAATTTCAAGCAGACTGGTAACAAAGAAGCTGTGATTTTAGCTTCAACATCACTTCTACAGTTACTACTAATTACGATTTAATGTTACTACTTGTGCCTAAGGTCTGTTATTGACGACGGATGTATACGTACACCTTGTCTCACTTGATTAATGATGTTTCTGTCCGCACTTAAGAACTCGGGATAAGGAACATTTTTGCATTTTTTTTCCGTCTATTCAATGCATATCTATGTCGTCCTCCATTCATACGTATATTAACAAAACCGTAAAAAAGCCAAAAAACTGTAATTAAAAAAACTTAAACAAAAACAGTTTTAAGATAATTTAACAAAATAAAAAAAAAAATCTGAAAGCTTTCAGATTTTATATTACGCCCGAAGGGGCGTTTTTTTAACGTTTTATGTGTTACCTTCATTTATTAAATATCATGTTCTTCGGATCTAAACCATAAAATTTAGCTCAATAGCAATATCGCAAAATAATTTCAAATGAGCATCTTTAGAATTTACAGTCTCGCGCGCTAGAGATAAAAATGTCCCCCCCCCGAACAGTGTTGCCATTGCTCGCTTTGAAATCATTGAGTTTGTTAATCAAAAATTCGTTAAAGGTTTGCAAAATATGAAATTGATAATAAAACAATTTCCAAACTAGGGCTTCCAGATGCCCATATTCGATTGAAGGACTGCGTTATTCAAAATTGGATGGCTCTGGATACCGTTGTTTTATCACAAGGCGAGAAACATACATACATTTATGCAGAATCTTCATTATTTAATGTGTTTAAATATAGCAGAGGACGATAACATTTGGTGGCAACAATTTGAAAAGTAAATCGACATTTACAGTGAACCGAAGCAAAATGCCAAAACGAAATTAATAGCCCTTCTGAGCTAACGCCCTTTGGGCTAAAAACCAAAATCAATTAAGAAAAACCAAAATTAAAATCAATCGCTCTAATAACTGCTTCAATTAATAATAATAAAAGATTACGCTATTGGTACTAAATTAAGAACCGTTAAAATTATGGTTTCGCCTTACATGGTTTTGCGTTGTTCCACTTTTCGAAGCTAAATTCGGCAAAATGTAAGGTATTTCTTTTTCAAATGAAAACTACCCGTTATTGATTAATAAACTAAGCTATTTAAAGCAGTTTGTAATATTATTTTTAGTCCAAAGGGATTTCAGTCCCGAAGGACTATTGCTTTCGTTTTGGCATTTTGCGTCGGACTCATAAACGTCGGTTCACTTTTCAAACTGTTGCCACAAAATGTTAGAGTCCTGCATTATATTTGAAGAAATTAAATAATGAAAAATCTGCATAAATGATTGTCTATTTCTCGCATTGTGATAAAACAATGGTACATAGAGCCATCGAATTTTGAATGACGAAATCCTACTGCGAATATGGGCATCTGAAATCCCAAATTTGGAATTTGTTTTATTATAGATTTTATATTTTGTAAAACTTTAACGAATTTTTTTGATTTACAAAACTCAATGCTTTAAAAAAAGCGAGAAATGACAACGTTATATAGAAAAAAAATACTTTTTTTATCTCCAGCTCGCGAGACTGTGTATATCGGAAATTCTAAAGATATGCTTAATTTAACATTATTTTGCGATATTGCTCTTGAACTGAATTTTATGGTTTAAGTGCAAAGAACATGATATTTAATAAATAAAGGTAACACTCAAAACGTTAAAAAAACGCCCCTTTGGACGTAATTTAAAATCTGAAAATTTTCAGATTTTTTTTTTTTTTTTTTTTTTTTTTTTTTTTTTTTTTTTTTTTTTTTTTTTTTTTTTTTTTTTTTTACTTTTAAATTTGAATGCTTTAAATAAAAATGCATTTAAATCACGATATATCTAATTTATAACACTAAACATTTTTATAATACTTGTAATTTTCACTTTTCAAATATGCAGAAGGTATGTAACGTTCCTATGTTAAGTCTAAATATATATTCATCTAGTATCCTATAAAATGCTTCGTTACTCTACCTAAACCACCGCTATTGATAATCTCTACTGAAAATCTATTTTAAATTAAATCTAAAAGAGTCCTTTTGGGCTCCCGTTAGAGTCTTAAACCTTTCAATTTTTTTTTATTGATTTCAAAATTGGCAAGAGGCGAAAGACAATAAAATACAACATAATGAAAGCAACCATTAGAAGAGGGTAGAGTAGTGCTATTGATGTTAAATTAAGAACATTGAAGTTACTTTATTTGTAAATAGAAAGACATAATATACTACCGAGATTCATTTATAAAGATTTTGATGCGATTATAATTGTATAAAAGGTTTTAGTTTTAATTTTTCTGTCATGTAAATACACAGCTCAAAAAAAAGGGGGGCACAGTTCTATATCTCCCGTTCTACAGGGCCTATTGACGAAATTCAACTAGCGTTTTTCATGCCTCGAACGCGCGACTTAGGATATGTATTACATTTATATATAGCGGTATTTTGACACAAAATCGGACTTTTCTGAAATAATATACCAATTTTCTTTCCATATTTCAATTCTACGGCTCAAATTACGCCAAACTACCAAGTTTTATGAAAATCGCGAGAGTAGTTTTTAAAAATTAGATCTCAAAATTTTAGCTCCTCAATGTTAATTGAGTTTGGTAAATGTTTATCAATATCTCCCTTTTTATTAACTTATTTGATTCTTCCTTTCCCATTTCGAAATTTAGGTTCATTCCAAATAAAATTCGCCCATTTTTTATGATTTATTTTTTTAATTTGTATTTTTAAATAATTTTTATAAATTTTTCGAAAACAATTTTGAATTATCTATAAAACTTTTACCATCATCTTAAAGTAGATGTATTTCTAAGCATAGCTTCAAAAAAAATTAATTTTTTTATTAAAAATTTCCGAAGATATATACGTGAATTTATAAGTTTAAAATTTAGCGAGTTTTAAAATTTGGCATATTTGTTGAAAGCGATAATAACATTAAATGTGGTTTAGGCACTTTGTTAAAATTATTTGAAAGGAAGAACGATGTGAACGAAGTGCCTTTTTTCTGTTCATGCACAATGTAAAAAGATAGGAACGATATCCTTTTTTTTCCGGTAATGCACAATGGAAGGGAAAGGAAAATGGATTGCCATATATTAAGAAATTCGCCAAATGAATTAGTCTTGGCGCAAACTGAAGAAAATATCCCAAGATAAATTTGTGAATTTCTCCGTAAATTTCGCACCAAATTTTACAAAATTTAATATTTAGGCGTAATTTGAATCGTAGAATCGAAATATGTAAAAACAATGGTATGTTATTTCAGAAAAAGTCCAATTTTGTGTCAACATACCTACATTAGAACAATGCATATATAAATCTAATACATATCCGAAATCGCACTTTCGAGACATGAAAAACGGAATTTGAATTTCGTCAATCGGCCCAATAGAACGGGAGATATAGAACTGTCCCCTTTTTCTTTTCTCTCTCTCTCTTTTTAGTCTAAAGGGATTTGAATCCCGAAGGACTATTAGTTTTGTTTTGGCATTTTGCGTCGGACTCATAAATGTCGGTTCACTTTTCAAACTGTTGCCACAAAATGTTAGAGTCCTGCATTATATTTGAAGAAATTAAATAATGAAAAATCTCCATAAATGTATGTATATTTCTCGTATTGTGATAAAACAACGGTACATAGAGTCATCGAATTTTGAATAACGTAATCCTCCAACGAATATGAGCATGTGGAAGACCAAATTTGAAATTTGAAATTTGTTTTATGATCGATTTCCTATTTTTTAAAACTTTGACGAATTTTTGATTAACAAACTCAAGGATTTCAAAGCGAGCAATGGCAACGGTGTGCAGAAAAAACATTTTTATCTCCAGCGCGTGAGTCTCTGTATCGGAAATTCTAAAGATATGCTCGTTTTAAAACTATTTTGCGATAT